GTAACGAATAAATACAGCAGTTTTTGGAGAATAAGCTCTTTTCACGATCGCTCCATAGACAACCATTGGAAGTAGGACTCCAAAATGGCGGAAGGAAAATTTTACTTTATTTACGGCATCACAATGAATATACTTAAAATTCTATGAATATACTTAGCACCAACTGGTCTATAGGCATGCATTATATCAAGAGTGGATAATTATTTAGGGAGAGTGTCTAACCTGCCTATATTCTGTGATACCACAGCGCGTATGTTTACATCCGTTTTTTGCAAGTATACAGAGTTAATCTCAGTAATCTTCAAATTTATGGGTGTGGCTGATAAAATGGCGCTTGAAACATGCAGGCAACTTTAAGACTTATATCCATAGGCGTATCTAGCCTTCTCCATCTACCAGGGCACTTAATTAATTATTCATATAATTAATTAATTATTCATATATCTAATTAATTAATCATACCTTTAACTATTGATTGGGGCAATTTGGGCAAAGGCATTTTAAATTTAAGACCTATAGCTGCCCTGGTGCTTGAATAAACACTTGTAACATGTAGGTGTGTGCTAAATTATTGTGGTTAACAGTGCTACCTATTGTGGTTAACAGTCCTCCCACTGTTACAATACTGTGTATAATACAATAACTAATGAATATAATTATGGCTGCAAATTTCTACCCGGGCAAAGCCCGTGCTTGCCCGGGTCCAAATACGCCTATGCTTATATCTCCACTCTGAGGATCATGTAGTGCGAGAAACAAGCAGGAGCAGACGGGAATATGTTCTTCTAATGGTTGGCTCTTTCTTATTTGCAGCTTTCTGACTTGGAATCAGTATAAGGACGCAAGAATGGCTACTTGATGCTAATAACCATCAGTGCTATGTAAACTTGCGCACTGTGGTATCACAGATTATAGGCGGGTTAGACACTCTCCCTAAATAATTATCCACTCTTGATTATATCCATAGATCAATCAGTTGCGCTCCCAGCTACTGTCAGTATGTTTACAAATTGGAAAAGGAATGCAATACTTGGCAGGAAAAGGTCTAATACACAGAGATTTGGCTGCCAGAAATTGCATGTAAACATTTTTATTAATTGAAACTACTCAAATTTTACTAGCTCATCACAGGATTGATGAACATGGAAACATAAAAGTGGCTGATTTTGGTCTCTCTAAAGATGTCAGTGGTAATGTTTATTTTCGGCAAGGAATGTCAAGTGGAGTTAAACTACCAATCAAATGGATGGCTATTGAAAGTATAGAGGATGGTATATTCACTGAAAAGACTGATATAGTAAGAGAAATAAGTATATGCATTACTATACTCACACACATACACACAGTGGTCATTTGGTATTACAGTATGGGAAGTGTTTAATGGAGGGAAGACACCTTATGGTGGGTTTTCACCAACATGTGTTAAGACTATGATATCTGATGGATACAAACTTGAAGCACCTTCAAATTCAGCATGCAATGATGATATGTAAGGAATACATTAATGAGTTGAATTATTAGTATAATCATCATGCTTATAGATATCAGAAGACAATGCTAAAGTGTTGGGAGAGGGATCCTAATGAGAGACCAACATTTGCTCAAGTTGTGACAGATATTGATACATTGCTATCAAACAGTGTTGGATACTTGGACCTTACTAAATGAGTCCAATTAAACAAGACACATCCTATGCATACACATGTACTGGTATTGTAGCTATATTTTGTAGTGTTAAGCATTATCTTCAGTTTAACTAGCCTCATTAAAATCATTATAAATTCATGTACTTAAAAAATTTTTTGTTGAAAAACATTGCAAATCACGGACAAATCAATACGGCTGTAATTTAAATCTATTAATGTGGAATATAAATAGCATTGGAAATTGCAGCGTCAGGTTAAGTATACCACAATGTCATCATGAACAATACCATATAGCAGGAAATTTTCATTGTTTATTTTAAATGTTATTTACTTTAAACAGTGTTGTTTAAATTTAAAAGCACTCAACGAAATTTCCTAATACAAATAGAATATTAGCTTATTCAGGCAACATTCTGGTAGAGCTATAAAGCTACAAACAGAATACAAGGTAATTGATGTAGGAGGAGAACCAGTTGAATCAGATATCACTGCTCATATGACAGTAAATGGCAAAGTTACAGTTCTGAATCTGGTGGTACAAAAGTTAACAAAGCTTTCTCCAAATTGATGCCGGAAAAACTAAATGACCAAGGTTTCAAAAAAATTCACAGTTTCAGGGACTATTCACAGCAAATATCTAAAAATTTTTTACTGAGAGTTTGAAAGCTAAAAAAATAGCACTTGCATGGGGAAGGTAACCTAAAATCAGAGGTGGATAAAGTTGATGGGATGGAATATGATGAAGATACAAAAGATACGTTGTACGTAGATAAGAAAGTAGTTGAGAAAGAGCTATTTGGTCCAGCAATCAGTGGCATCATTGATTGCACAGTAGCAGCTATTAAAAAGAATGAGTTCAAAGTAAGCACATTTTACTTGGTTGGTGAATTTGGAGGTTGTTAATGGCTGCTATAGAAAAACTGTACACCTCTAAAGACTGTACATGCAATGTATTAGTGCCACCTACTCCTCAATTAGCTGTTCTACAGGAGCTGTAATGTCACATCAAAAATCTGAGAAAATAAAAGCAAAATGATCTGATGCCACATATCATATACCTTTTGATTTGAAGAAATGTAATGAACATTAGAAGTTTTTTGACAAAAATTAAAATGAGTATCAATGTAATGTGCCGGATGTGTTCCTAGAAAAAGGGTTTATCTCCATCAAATGCATCTGATACTAAAGATTCTATTGAAATCTACTCAACTTTTTGTCTGGGCATTCAATATATCAAGGAGAGAGATGGGAAGAAAATGACTGTAAAAATTGGTAAACTAGTCATTGATGCACCCAACCCTGATAATCCTACCAGTCGAAGAGCACAATATGTCACAATGGATTTCAGTGGTACTGAAATTCAAGCTAAAGGAAAATACTGAATAAATGGAAAGAAGTCAAAACAGTCTGGAACTTCCTTTCTGCTAATTAAATAGAAGTAGCTACATGTAATTGATTTCTCTAATATTAGATTGTTGATTGCTACACAAAAAATTTGTAATTGTTGTTGCTAAAATTGTATTCCAAATTCATGATTTCTAAGAATTGCTTATAGAATGTACAGATTTGAATCTATATACAGAGCTGACACAATCACTTCTAAGAATTTAGCTTTCTATATGCAAATATATATACCCGGTATACAATTAAGTGCATTTCCTCTGGTTTAGATTGTGCATGGGTGCATCATTCTTACCTTGGTCCTTGTCAATTATTCTCATAAGCCACGCCTCTCAACTAAGCAGATTGGATTCCCCCTACATAAGATAGTTACTAATAAAAAGTATAATAAATAAGCTACCGTATAGCAGGAAATTTTGGAGGGGACGAATTTGGCATTTTGATAGCTATTCACCAAAATAAAAATCCACCATTTTGAGCCGTTATGCACATGCTCAACTTCATGTGGCCACGAATTTACCAAATTACTATATGCCAATCACCAAAATTTAGCAATTTGCAAATTTAACTTCCTCCAAAATTTCCCGCTATACTAGGTAATTCATTTAGTCTCAATTACTACAATAATCATCTATTACTATTAACAAACAGGACAAAACAGTAGATGTGTAACCCATAAATATTACTCATAGCACAAGTGTCTTAATCTATAATGGCATTGAAAATATAATTTAGTAATTCCCTCTATTTTAATGTGTATGCACACTATGCCACAAAAACTGATGTTATAGGCCATGCAGAATTATTTAAAATTAATATGCACATCATCTGAAATGCTAATAAGCATTATGTACATGGGTCATTATCACAATCATTTCAGAAAAGACTCTGTGATGTTTCTTCATACAAACATGACATCATTGGTCATGTTTCTTCATACAAACATGACATCATTGGTCATGTTTCTTCATACAAACATGACATCATTGGTCATGTTTCTTCATACAAAACATTATGATAGCAAACAAGCATGGCTGATAATTTTTACAATTAAAATATTATTTCATAAAAAAGACTTGGATGTTGCTTTTGTATTTTGTGTGATGGCTTTTTCATCCAAACATGATCAAAGCATTATGATAGAAAACAGGCATGGCTGATAATTGTTACAACTCAAATGTTAAATGGGAACATTAGTAAGCACAACACAATAACTTTGATCATAAATGTAATGCAAAACAAATTCTAAAGTATGGCCATGGGTCATATAGACCTATATAAGTGATTAGATTAATTCATTGCTGACCTGGTGATTGTGATGAATCTAGTGGTCAGAGATACAACCACTAAAGTTTCAAGATATGACTGTACAGTCATTTGACATAGGTATAGGAATGAAACATGTATTGAGGGGCGATCCCACAAGTCATGCATGCATAATTATGAGATAGCATCACTGTAACAAATTCCTAGTATAAAAATGTGATTGTGCCCAGCTCACCTATGCTGCACATATTCTTATATACTAGTAGTAAATTAATTACTACAATCAAATGTGCTTATATCACTTTTACCATAATGTCATCCACAATTCAACAAGTATTGCATATTATAGAAACACACTGAAAATTAATTATTTTTTAACAATATGAGAACTTTCTGGATTCAGGCTTTTTCTAATGTCCATAAGTATGAGTGGATAGACAGGACAAAAGAATCAAACAAAAAATACAAACATCTGAAAGTTTCAGTATAGTTGTCAGTCAAGATGTTATATTCCCCAAAATTTTGACTATTGGCTGTCAATTACTTTTTATTACAAACAAGACAACACAAAGGCAAAATTCTCTTTACCTAAAGCAACAACATTACATCATGATAGCAAACAAAGTATGGTGAGAAAAATACTCTTGCCCCACTCTTGTAAGTAGAGTTATAATTATTAAGAATACATGGCAATAATTTCATTATAATTGTGCATACATACGGACAGTGCTAGACAACTTTAAAATGGCAGTTACTAGCTTGTTTTTGTGTCTGCAACTTCTTTTGTGGTATTCAAGTGCTGAACAGCTAAATGAACCAGATATTGAACAAGAAAGTTATAATGACAATGATAATACAACAATGAATGGTTAGTATAAAATTTCTAATAAATATAATTTGCTTATAGGTCCAGTTATATTCCAAGATCCATTTCTCTATTATTTGGACTACAAGACAGTGTATGTGAACTGTTCTGTTTATGGAGAGTCTCCATTTGAAGTCTCATGGTTGTATAGTACTGATGAGATATCTAATAGATTCAGTGACTACACTATCATCAGTGGTAGTAAAGTGTCTAATATTGTGTATAATCCTAACTCTGATGATGAAGGATATGTGTGGTGGAACAGTTCTCTTCTTTTAAATCTTATCAATAACTCAACAGTTGGATATTACTACTGTAGAGCCAACACCTCATTTGGTCTAATGTATTCAAAACCAGTTTATATCAGGAGCACTTGTAAGCCATTATTCATCAATTATGTATTGTGTATTATCTAATTCCTATATGTAGATATGCCAAGGCTAAACTCCAGTTTTACAAATTTTGTTAGTGATGGTATTTATGTACTTGGAACTTGGAGCATCATAAGCTTTCCTCTGCCAAACATTTTACTTTCAGTTCAATACTTAAATAATGCATCACTTGAAGCAAAAAGAGTATACAATGACTACATGACCACCAATTTGTCAAGCAACTCTTACAACACAAGTCACCATTTTATCTATGTTAATAAAACAAGTGATGATAGCCTGACTGTGCATTGGAGGTTTCCGTTCCAACAGTTATTTTCAATGCGACTAATAGCAATCAGTTATGATTACTTGTATCAAAAAGCTCAACACCACAAGCTGTATGATCATTCTGGTATAAATCTTTTGTGCATTAATTAAGTATGGTACTTTTTATTTTTAAGGTCAAGCATACGTGAATTTTAACAGTTTGTTCTTCGATGATTATACCCTCACCTTTTCGTGTCTCTGTGCGGAGTGTGATGACATTGAATGGAGACGAGACAATGTACCAATACCAAAGAATAGGTATGGTGTTGTTGTACTCAAGAAAGAGCTTTGGCCTTATCACTCAATTAACTTGAAGCACAGCAAATACTTAATTTCTTTTTATGACTTACGTCGCTACAGCTGCCACCTTCCAAATGGTCTATTTAAAAATTCTCCTGCATTTGTTAACAACCCATGTAAGCAATAGTTTTTCAATATTATTTATGAATAAAAACTCCATATTGACCTTGCTATTGCTATATTTGCTCTGTAAATAACAATTAGCTATTTTAATGTATAATTATACACACATAGTTGCTAAATTCCCTATGATACCAGAAGAATTAACGTATGTTCTTGGACAAAATCTCACACTAAAATGTTCAGGCCGTAGTCTCTATCCAGTGAATGTTGTATGGAATGCATCAGAAATTCTTCCCTCAATGAAAGTTCAAAATTTACGTGCAACAGAAGGCCATTACAATATATTAAACAGTACAGTCAATGCTAGAATCTCCTCAGAGACACCACTTTTATTTACTTTGTGTTGCACAATCTGTACAGAAATTTATATCCAACGAGATAATTTTACAAAAATACAAGGTCTGTTTCAAAGAGGAATAATTTTTGAAAACCTCATAGAATCTAAACCTTACGTCAGAGAATGTAGTTATGTCACAATACTGC